GTTTCATGTAGTTTTTTTTACTTTATTCTAGCTATATGTCTTTTAGGCAAGGTGTTTTTATCAAAGTTGATGGGAAAAGGTTTGGGAATTTTTTAACATCTCAATTTATTCAAAAGTTGCAGCTTTACCAAGATTTGGAAGTCACAGGGCCTCGAAAGAAAATCTAGAGGAAGCATCAAGATATGATACCTTTTTTTTTAAATAAAAAGCATACTACATAATTAGAAGATCCTAAAGGATAGATATCATGCAATATAATTGAGAATCCTGAGAAATACATGTGAATTTAATACTAAACATAAAATAACAGCTGTGGCATAACATTAAGATCATGTTTGCTTGCTGTAGTTTTCTCAATGTGAGGAGGAGAAGGTGATGACAGTGTGGATGGTGAAGATGAAACCAGTGTTGTAGGACAGGACACACTTCAAATAACCCACCATAAGATTGAGAGGACATGAGTGGACGTTGGCGTGATACACGCAGCAGTTAATTTCATTGGCGTTGTTCCAGTTTGTCGGGCACTCGTGTTCATGACAGAACCTCTTTGCCTCTGACGCATTACTGGAAGGGAACATAAGATGGTAGACATTGAAATGAACTAACAAAACTCTAGTGCTATTTACAGTGGAAGATCAAACAGAAAACCTGCAGATCAGCTTTCCTTTCGTAGAGGGACAATTCACACCAAAATCAAAAATACATATTTTTCCTCTTACCTATAGTGCTATTTATCAATCTAGATATCAGTATGACAGAACAGTTCTTTGTGTGTGCGCATTCAGGGCATGGCAGATGTTTAGGATGCCAGGTGTTTATGTGACACACTCACTTGAACTGGAAAATCTTGTTCTTGACTGCGTACTCGTAGAAGGAATCTGAGGCCGTCACCGTGTACGAGACATTGAACTCTTCCCCATTGGTTGCTTTCTCTGGAGGACGCTGCACCCAGGCCATCTCCAGACCTGTGACAACACACATGCTCATCACCTGAACCTTAAACAAACTGTACATATGCATACAGATACTAAAGGATACTGTGTGCTGTATTTGCACACAATTCTATTGAGCCCCACCTACTAAGTCACTGTAATTAATTCTAGACAAATGCTGTAAATGTTGACTCTTTCCTTCTCAGCCACAAGAGGAAAGGCATCTGATTTTACAGGAATGCTAACACATAAACCACCCAAAGTAGCTACAGATCAGCTGTTTCAACTGCAATGATCCACTCAAACAAACAGACATACTGTATAAATGCTTAAAAACTTACCACCACAGCTTATCATGTTGAAATCATTTGGACCGGTGATCGGCCAACAGTCGTACTCAGTGTTGTCCAGATCATGCCAGCAATGTACTCCCTGCAGGCATAGAAAGGATTTTTTTTTCATGTAGGGGCATGTTTTTGTTTGCGTAAGCAAATTTGAAAAGTGTGTTAAGTGTTTTATCAGTGAGTCAGGACTCTTCAAGTGAGTATGTCAATGAATTAAATACACAACTCAGCTCTGCTAAGCCTTGTTGGTTTTCAGCCAAAATGATAAAGAGCAAAAGTCAAACAGCAGCTGACATCAACACCACTAGCAAAAGCACTATGGGAACTAAACGTAAGAAAGAATCGTCACAGTATTATCTTTCATTCATGATTGATTACAGAATATTTTATAATCAAGGAAATCAGCCCCACAAGAAGCTGGTAAGTAACACAGCAGTACACAGAAACGCCACACCACCACATGCCCGCAGCAACAAGTGTTTCTGACAAGACAACAAAAGCTAGCCGGGTACCCCAGCAGTAAATGAAAAATGTGAACATCATACACTCAGTTTACACAGTATTCCAGCATCTTTGTTAATACAGTCAAAAGAAAAATGTATCACCCTGTCCTTATTTCACATCATTGTCCAGTCCATCAACGGGTCAACTTTCCTCTGCGGCTATTTATCCACATTTCCTCTCTGGAATTAAATCTGTTGTAGGGTTATATTTATTAAAACCACAACTTACCAGCAGGAAACACAGGTAAAGGGATGCCGCTGTCCGTAGAGCCATGAGGAGGTTTGCTGCTGCGGCTGGACCCACTCTGAACTGACTGAGTGAACTCTGAACTGACTGAGTGAATGACCAAATCTGTGCATGTGTGTGTATGTGTGCAGACCCCACAACCGAATGAAGTACCCTTCTCTAAATGTTTTTTTTTTTTTTTATTCCTGAGGCCCACCCTCCCCCTTGTCCGTAATTGGCCAATCAGCAGAAGAGGCTCTCCAATCACAGTTTGATCATGTACTCGTTCACGAGGCGCTTCAGCTCACCTTCATTGTCCTACAGGTCAGAATCCCTCAGAGGCTTCTGCACCTGAACTCACCACCAGGGCATTGTTTCTACTTTTTAAGTCTTCTGCATAATCTGACACCATCTATACTGTCTTAAACGGGTTTTTTCTATCAACTTGAAACTAGAAAATGTTTTTACGATCTAAGTATGGAGCTTTAGTCACATGGTAACAGGTATGGGGTTTGTTAAATGTTGTCTTAACACAAGCAGCCACAATAAAACATCCCCTTTAAAAAAATCATATAAATTAAATTATAATTTAAATCAGGAACTATCTGATCAAAGAATAAGTACTATACACAAGCGTCATTTGGTGAGAGAGAGGGAAATTGTAAACCCATTGGGTGAAAGTGCTATGAAAATACTGTACAATTTAGATATATAACAATGATGTGCACTTTCAATCATTATCTTAGACTGTCAACGCTGTCCTTTCTTTTCTGAAGTGAAACTCCCTGCCGCCATTTATCAGGTAGAACATTGTCATCATTTTGTTTAGCTGAAACTGAGCTGGGAACATTGTAGGAGAAACCAGTCAGTTCTGTAAATTATTCATAATTTAACTTTAAACCTGGCCTCTATGAGTCCTCGCATGTATGACACAAGGGATATTTATATAGCAGCATACCCTATGTACTGATGAGAGTGTTCCTTCTCTGCCTACATCTGTTTGCACTGAGATTAAAACCAAATCAAAAGACAGCATTTCTGAGCATCTGTGAAATTTAATTGGCTTTTCAAGAATGCATAATTACAGCACAGCTGTAGAAAAACCCCACACAAGTTTACAGTTTATGTTTTGGGGAGGCAGCAGTCACGACAGGTCTACAGAGGGCTCTATCCAGAACAGTACTCGCTACAATACAGCATGTTTTTAATGGAAATGACAAAGCTCAACCTGAAACAAAAACAAAATGTCATTCATATCCTGAGTAGTTTTCTATGAGCCTGTTCCTCTGCTGTCAAAAGATGCCGGTTGTGTTTAGGGGATTAAATCGTAACTGCGGCAAACGCTTTGCAGTCTAATTCAGAGGAGGATATTGTTCCTCCCACTTAAGAGTAAATTGCTCTTTCGCTAATAATGTAACTGACTTGATGGAAACTAAAGGTCACCCACTAATTGGCCTGAATAGAGGAAATCATTCTAAAGGGGCAGCTCTTGAGCACCACAAATCTCATGCAACGGTACTCCACCAATGATTACAAGTACAAGTCATGTAACAGGACTGTTAGATAATCCTTGCAGTATTTGTTTTTTGTTAGTACGCTAAAATATGCACTAGTGTTAAACGCTTTTAGATTAACAGGTATTATCAGTTAGTGACTTATTTTGAATCGAAATTCAGAGAACGTCTGAGTCAGTCGAACAGGATTCGCAAGTAATCTCATGGTTTGTTTTGGCTAACGTAGGTGTCAAGTGGGTGGCGTGTGCAACGTTTTAAAAGGCTGCAGCCTCTCTAGTGTGATAACAAGCTTACAATGTACAACGTTGGCGTGCCAATGATAAGCAGGTGTAAGGTTTACCATGTTCACCATCTTGGTTTAGCATGTTAGCATGCTAACATTTGCTAATTAACACTAAACACGAAGTACAGCTGAGGCTGACAAAATGTCGTTAGTTTGCAGGTATTTTGTCATAAACCAAAGTATTGGACAAATTCAAGTTTTGATCCGATAATGGCACTGGAGGAAAAATGAGAAGATCAATAAAATTGTCGAGGGGAACATGAAAGTCTGTACCAAATTTTATGGTAATCCATCCAATAGGTTCTCTCAAAACCACAAATGTCAACCTTGTGGTGGTGCTGGAGGAAAAGCCAGTCGATCAGATTGATTGCGTTTAGGGTTCGTCACCTGGGAATCATTGTTTACAGAATGCTGTGTAAATCCACGTTGAGATATTTCACCAGAAATCTTCCTACTGATGGTGTCAAATGAAAAGTCAGCGTAACAAGTTAGGATTAGGATGAGGGCCGTGCAGTAGTTGTTCAGATATATTCAGTCCTATGTGATGTACCAACAAACTAACCAACGACATCTCCATCAGCCACATTGCTGGCATGGCTAAAAATGAAGTGAAAGCCAGAAAATTCATAAAATTGTAATAATCAATCACATTATTTATATAATATTTCAAAGGTGTTAAATACAAGATTGAGAACATTTCTATTGCTAATGGTGCCGACAGTTTACGTGAGGGGGAACTGGAGGGTTGGCATGTTTACACAACATTCAGCAGTAACCGCCATATGAGAGCAGTGCAGAGCGGAGGCCATGAGTCAGCCTTTGAGCAACACTCGCATGCACTACAACAAGCCCGAATAAAAACAAACGGGGAGAGTGATTTCAGTCTCATTACTCCACTGTATCTTTACATAGCAAATATTTGTCTGCAGCCATTTTAATGATTTGAATATTGAATGAAGCAGCTTTTTAAAAAAATAAATGTTTTTGGGCTACTGTTGCAAGCTCTTTAGTGAAATCACCCTCTGTGCGGTTTTTGTATCATGTCATTTCATTAGGAAAACAGACATATTGAGCATTATGTTTGAAAAAAAAACTCCAAAAAGCTGTGACTTAAAGAGTAATTTTCTACAAAATGTACAGCTTGAAAGTCTAACTGGACAGTGAAGGCGTTAAATAACCTCGGTTTGATAACAAAACATAAAATACACAAAATAGCTTTAATGATGTCAAGTCTTTTACAGCAGGAGTGGCATAAATACTGTACAGCAGGTTGAAGATGAGTCATTGATTTAGCAGTCTGTGCTAAATGTGTGCCGCGTGTGAGCTCGCGTGTGTCTAGGTACAGTCATTCAGTCATATCCTTTGATTCCTGCAGGTACACAGGCTATTGCTAAAACTCCAGCAGGAATCCAGTGTGTCACAACATTTTACAACCCCTGCACTGTCAGGTGAGCAGCCGTTTCACCGGAGCAACAGCAGCCATTCAGCGAGTTGAAGCGGATGTGTAAAAATGCTACAGGGAAAACCAGTTTGCCTCCATGAGGTTCTGCAGGCTGTTTGTTAAGGTGAACTGATAAAAGATGACAGGACAAGAAAGCAGGGATTATGTTATCTGTTCCCCAGGGGCCAAACTGCTTTGCAAAAGAAAGTAGGGTGTTATTTTAAAGACTATAAAATGCAAAAGATAGCCAAAACAATCAGGTCATGCTGAGCATGCTGGCTGTCATACAGTTGAAATGACCGCACCTCTTCTTATAAGCTTTTTACAGGATGTACAAGTAGATACATTACAGCAGTTTACAGTATTTTTCGCTAGCCGTGTTAAAAATAATCTTAAAACAATGTGCCCTGCCCAAGCAAACCTACAGTTTTAGTGTACCTGATTACAAAAATGTTACATGTCTTAAATACAGTAGATTATCCATTACAGAATCGCTTCCTCAAAAGCTACACAGGAAGTAAACCTAAAGACAATCACATGTACACAAATATATATATAAGGGAGAAAGTTAAGCCACCCTTTGCATGATTTTACCCTTTTTGGAAGTAAAAGTAAAAATTTACTGCTCTGCACTTCCTATTGGATTATTGTCTTCCAGAATGGTCTAGTTTAAATAACCTGCAGGGATGTGATGAGGAAGACAAAAAACAGGATGAAACAGCTACAGGAATCTCACAATCCCTGACAAGGAGTATTGTGTCCAAAAACGGTAAAATCCTGAATAAAACTGAAAACATCTTTGCATCCATTTGGGGACTTAGTTTTGCATAAAGCTCTCATCAGCTCTGGAGAGGCTGGCCTGCAGTGTCTCTTCAAGAATGTACTTTTAAGTCAGCGGACGCTGACAACGAAGCCGCCCTGAGACCAACTGGTGTGGTTTCCCTTTCAAGTCATTCCGTATCTTCATAAGGTAACTCCAGTCAGAGCTGGACACAAATTCAGTTAAAATTCCTATCAAGTTACACTTTCAAGTCTTGATTTGGTCCTGATGGTCATTTTTTGCCTCCTCTGAGGGAGGCTGACTGTTGCCCGTATCCTGACCAGAGCTGAGCGGCCTGGCGTTGGCCTTCGTCGACCGCTGCCGCCGCGTGCCATTGCCAATGCAGCGCAAGAGGTTCTTGAACGTTGTCCACATTTCCTCGTCCTTGTAGGAGTAGATGCAAGGGTTCATGACGGAGTTGAGTACAGCCAGGAGCAGCAGCCAGCGTTTTGATTTCATGACGTTACAACTCGTACAGTTGAGGCCGTCCAGGAGCAGAACCACCAGGCCGGGAGTCCAGCAGATCACAAAGGCCCCTTCAGGAAAAAACAAAACCCAGAATAACACAGTTAGGCTTTTGTAACACGCATTTCTTACATGTACATTTATTTTGAGCATTAGTGTGTCAGGGACAAAAAATATATATATATAACGAAAGATACAATGCAAAGAGAATTTTGAGCAGTTTGTCCTTTTAAAAGAAAGAGGAATCTATCATAAAAAGAGTTTACATTTCTGTCGATTGACTAATTGATTTATTTCTTCAGCATTCGTTTTACAGTGAGTCAATTATGTTAATTTTCTGAGCTGGCCAAGAGGTTTCCGATTGTTCAAATGGGTTTTAAAAATGCAAATCTAACTAAATCAGTGTATTTGATGGATTCATGTGCTTATATTGATGAAGCTACAACACTGAAATCAATACATTCTAGCAAAGGAATACCATCCTAATACCTTTACAACAAGGAGACACAGGTCGGGAGTACAAAGCCATTATTGTGTTAAAGACTTTGGTAAACAATACGGATGGGCACAGGGCTACTGAAGCAGCCAATTAGCATTCATTTCAAACATGTTTGGGCACAAAACAGAGCTACAAAGAAATGTCTGGAAATGACAGGAAGCCACAAGCAGCAACTTGTCTGCACAACCTGCATCTCTATGGCCTCAATACATCTGCAGAACAAAAACAAGTACTGTTCTGTACAGCGCTCTCTCCCTTTGTCTCGCGTACACAAGTGTGGATACACATGCACACAGACTGAGAGGGTCTGGTGTTTTTATGTTTTTCCATTGCTCTTAGGCCTGAAAGTCAAAAGGTTTGCCACATTTTACAGTGAATTTCTATTTTTATACTCATTCCTCTTTTTCCTCGTCTTTGATAGCCCACATGTTCAAAATTAAGTGAACTAAATTGAAATTGCCTTTTTAATGGCCTCCTATTGGCAGTTTGTCATGTATTGAAGTTTAAAAGTGGACTTTCTTTCCCTTTAATCTACGACAGAGAGAAAACAAACAGGTTTAGGAACACGCATTTCAAGCATGTTCTTTTTCTCAGTTGGTATTCATTTGATTGTAGTTGTACTTGAAGAATGAAAAACAAATCTGAATCTGCATGCTTTACTTAAACAGGTCCCAACGCTGTTAGACATACTACAAATAAATGGCTGTAGGCTATTAAACTACAATAATTATATTTGACCAAACTAGTGCCATGAAGAGTGAAATGCAAATGTAACCAAAGAGGCCGTCAGATTCAAAAGAAACTAAGGCCATGTCCACATTACTCCATTTCTATTTGGAAACGCATACGTTTTGCTAGACTGACACCGAGTTTGAAAACTCCGGGGCTGCCTCTTCGTGTGGACAGTCGAAAACGGATACATTCAGAAACGATGACGTAGACACCCGCGTTGGCTACTTGATTGGTTCTTAGCAGCCATGACGTATCCTTCCCCGATTCGTCACACGCCTATCACGTGACCCTTACCCAGAAGCTCACAAACAACATTGATTACCGATCGACTACCAGGTTCATTTAACATGGACAACTGATTGCAGGCATTGCTGACCTTGTTGTCTTTACCAGCAGCTGTTCAGTTAAAGTCTGCATTTCTGTGGAGGAAGCAGCTGTTATTGGAGCGATTAGCGAGCGGCGTGACCAGCGGCGTTATCAGCCCTACGGAGCGGACGTCTGAAGTCATGGTTAGCAGTAAATGCTATCCAGTAGGACAGATAGCTAAGCCACCAGCAGAGCTACGAGTGAGAGACGTGTGTTGACCACATTTATGGACCCATAATATAGTAAACGTTTACGTGTAAGTGTTGATTTTAAAGTAAATTTGATACGCGCGAGAGAGATAGAGAAAGACCTGCAGCGCTGTAACCAAGTCAACTTTCCACGAACTGTGTCTGTTTGAGTTTATAGAGGAAGATCAAACACGACCTTTCATTATTAAAGACTACTTTATTACTCAGTCGAATTTTTTTTAACTAAGCAACCACTCTACTTCCTGTTTACACCATCACCCGCATGCCCAGTGTACGTTAATGGTCACGTGATGTACGTTAATGGTCACGTGATATCCATTTTCGAAGCTTGCCGTGTGGATGCAGATCAATTCGAAAATGATGCTGAAACGCCTATGTGGACGGAGAACGTTTCTATTTGGAAACGGAGTAGTGTGGATGTACTCTAGATAATAAGTGCAAATTTACCCTTCTTAGGTGTCGGTGACAATGTCCGACATGTTCCAACATCTATGCACTCATTCATTTAACTCTTGGTATAACAAAGCATGTGTGGGGTAAGCTTCTTTAAACCGGTTTGTCCAGTTAGCAGTTCCACCTGAGCGGATTACTTTTCTGTTACAGAAGTGAATTTTTTTTCCTGAATTAAATGTCACATCGACCAGACCAAATGCCTCAGAGGGCTTCAAAGTTCCTTCCTTTCTCTCTCAGATATTGCTGTTGTGTTATTTGCGCCACCTTTCAAGAGCAACCTTTTGTTTTACATTTCACTCCAAAGTCACAGCAATCTCAACAGGGAACGACACTTGTGTGCCAACACTTCCACAAGCTCAAGTGAACTCGGCAAAGCATCTGAAAGCAATTGACAAAGTCCTCAAGTATAGGTTGTTGTTGTTCTTCATTTTTTCTGGATGGGTGGGGAGGAGGGGATGTTCATTGAAGGCCAGTGTGGTGTGGTGTGGATGGTATGCCACACAGGCTCAGGAGCAGTGTCCTTGCCGGGAGAGATAATTATACAGCAGTCTGGAAGACAGTGTGTACAAAGGCGGACAGCAGCTCCTACACTACAAACTGCATCAAACCATCTGGTCAGGCAACAAGCCGAGTGCCTGAAGAAACAAAGAACAACGACAGACTATTTATCCTGCAGGGCGGCCATGCAAAATCACTTCAACTATCTCATGCACGTTTCTATCTGGATAGCTGTATGAAGAGTGCATGAAAATAAAAACGAGGACACTAAACTCATCTGACCTATGCTTTCTGAAACGCATCCATTTAAGAGTTTGATGGTTGTGTTATACTCTCATGAGAATATGCATTCAACACCCTATTTTGGTGTTTGAGTAGAATACGACAGTGCAGTCCTATTGTTCCGTCCTTATGAGAAAGTGCTGGGAGGGCAAGGATTTGAGTTCAGTCCCTCTATCGCAAGGTATCCTATTGCAACACCTAAACAAAGAGCAGGACCAGGATATCCGACTGCCTCGTCTGGGATGAAAATGCATGAGAAGAGAAGGAGACGTCAGCCTTTTTGAGCTTTCTTTCCTCTGGGAAAAGAACTACCTTGATTAATTGTTTAGCCAACGAATAGAAAATTAATATCCTCCAACTTAAGGATTTTTTTTCAGCACAAAAATACCAAACAGTCTTTGGTTTCGGCTCCTCAAAAGTGAGGATTTGCTCCTTATTCCTGTAAACTGATTTTCTTTCGGTTTTTGACTGTTAGTTGGACGAAAGCAATTTAAAGAAACTTATGAGGGACATCTATCATATTTTAACATGTTATAGACTAAATGATTTGTTTATTAAACAAATAATTAGACGATAGAATAATGGTTAACGAATTTAAGCCACTGGGCAGAAAATCGGACATAAAAGAGGCAAATAGTACAAAAAACAGAAATATAAAAGAATTTGCTGACTCCTTTTTTTCCTTTCTTTCATTAAAGACGCCCTCAAATCACTGAAAAGCACTCAAAACATTTACTGAAAGCGCAAGCGTTTGTGTTGTTATGCTCAAGGTTTTCCTTCATATCAGGAAACAGATTACAGTCCAGTGTTCAGCAGTGCCTCAGTGAATTGCCTGGACTTCGTGACCCTGACGAAGGACACACAGCTGTTCACCAGAACTGTTTACACCCGACAAATGCGGGAAACGTCCTGACTCACTTCATCAATGATGCTGCAGACAGAATTAAAATGATTAGCACCTACCGAGCACAACCATGACTGTCTTGATGAGCTTGATGGGCGTTCTCTTGCGGTTAATGGAGCCGCTGGTGTGTGGCGAGAGCATCGACGTCTTCCTCTTGACGTAGGTGTAGATCCTCGTGTAGATGACCACCATCACCAGGAACACCACCAGGTTAGACACGGACCAGAAGATCAGGTAGCTCCTGCTGAAGAGAGGAGCCAGCTGGGAGCAGTCACTCAGGTTGCAGATGCAGTTCCAGCCCAGACTCGGCACGGCCCCCATCAAGATGGAGATGGCCCACACCAGCACGATCAGCAGGGTCACCCTCCTCTTCGTCAGGTTGCTGTGGACTTTCCAGTTCATGACGGAGATGTAGCGCTCCAGAGCTATTACCAGCAGGTTAGCCAGCGAGGCTGAAAGACTGATGTCCAGAAGACCTTGACGGATGAAGTATCCTTTTACTGTAAGTTTCCGCGACACCTCACCCGTGTTAAACATCAGGTACACGTACGCTATGCCTGCCAGGAAGTCTGCGGCAGCGAGGTTGGATAGGAGATAGTAGAAAGGGTAGTGAAACCTCTTATTGGTGATGACAGCAGCTATGACCATGGCATTGGAGACCAGAATGAAACAGCAGAAGAGAGAGCCCACCACCTGCACCAGGATGAGCTGGGCGTTGTCCCATTTATCATCAGCGCCGCTCTTGTTGTAGAAGAAGCCCATGGACTCATTATAATGGCAGCTGTGGTTCCGTTGGTCCATTTTAGAGGCGTGTCTCTGGAAAGAGAATGAGAGAAAACACATGAAGTGGAACCGTTTATCAACCATTTATCTATTGAAGTACAGCAAAAAATAATTAATAAATGGTTATTCTAACAACAAAAATCCCAAATGTTCCCATTTCCTGCTCCTCAAAAGTGAGGATATGCGGCTTTTCTTTGTATTATGTGATAATAAACAGAAGATATTTGGGTTTTGGACTGTTTGGACGAAATAAGACATCTTGGTTTCTGGGAAATTAGGGTCGACATTTTGTCGACCAAACAATCAATATAATAATCAAGAAAGTAATTGGCAGTTTTTGTAATGAAAAAAAGAATTCGTTGCAGACCTAAATTCAAGTATGTCTAATAAAATATATCTATAAATCACTTTTTAGGCATTAAAAATCCAGTTTTATAGATTTAAATAGATCAAATTAAAGCAAACGTAGAATAGGATGATAAAAGAGATGAAAAGTCTAAACTGCAATGCCACATCAGTGCATAGTGCCGACTTTCCCCAAGGCCAAGAGAGATTTAATGACTCCAGTCCAAAGGGAGAAGTGCACGCGCCAAAACGCATTCACAACTGAAATCACAGTCAGCACCATTACTAAAGTTGAACAACACAGTGACCGGAGTAAGATCAAAAAGGGAGCCAAAAAAAACGCTCAATCGAGTGACGTGAGAAAGGTCCGCAGTCATTCACAATGTTGAACTGGACAAACGTTTCTTTGGGCAAACACTATACAGACATGCAGCGAAAGAAGATTCCAACGTAGGCCAATTCATGCAGAAGTAGTTTTCTCCATGACTTGAGAAAGAGAAGCCTTTATTACCTGTGCGATTAGGGAAATCAACAACCACGAAGAAGGGAGGCATGAGAAATTCCCACAGAAGGGATTGACAAATAGAAATGAGAAACACAAATAGAAGCCGACAAAACAAACTATTTTGCCCGACAGACATTTAATCACTACAGACTAACAAAGAGCTACTTAAAAGCACAATCAGCCAGGTGAGCTTACCTGTGGTAAGAGCACAGTCCGCGGTGAGTCAGTGAGCTTCGAGTTGCGAAACCTTCCGTGCCGAGTTAATGAACATGTCTCCCCTGCAGCATTGCGCCTCCGCAGCTATGGACGGAGGGAGGTGACGGCAGAGAGCTGGAGGACAAAGTGGAGCAAGAATAGTTGAGCGTGTTCACTTTGACTCCTCAGCTCGGTGACGTAGAGGGCGTGTGCCACCCACTCTCTCGCGTGTGAATTCTTCCGCTTGACCGCACGCGGCCCCGCGAGCTCACGGTCCGATCAGAACACTGGCTGTGGCAGTGAAGAGGGGACATCGAAACAACACCGATTGTTTCATCCGTTTTCTAGAGCATGTGCGCCAGTCCATTTCTCCACTGCTGTGCTTAAATCTCGACTGATTATTTCATGCTACCTCACCATTCCACATTTTGAAAGATTTTCATGAAATTGTTAAATGTAACAATCTTTCAAACTTGTAATCGTCTTCTCTGTCCACTAATCTTCAGGTGTTGTTTGCGCACACAAGATTCATTTATTTGTAGCTCATGTGTTGAAGAGTAAGCAATATTTGTTAGCCTAAACTAAACAGATCTGTTGAAAGGAAATCCTAAGAGCGAATATGCCGCTGTTGTCTTTGATGGTGTGAAATAATCAAATATAATAGCAAGATATATATATATATATACACACATATAAACACACGCACACACTTTGAAGTACTCGCACTCAACGTCGTGTTCCAGCTTGTCTCAATAATTGTTGTAGATTTGCAGATAAAACTGACTCGCACTGTAGTTCTGGTTTAGTCATGCAAAACTCACCCTACTCAGTTTAAGCTGCGAATGTGTTTTGCAATTTGCAGAAACCTTTGGAGCACTAAACGTTTTTTTACAGAGCTCATGTGACATGCGTTGTATTGCAACTTCAACACAACCACTGCTGATATAATATTGACCATGTAAATCATCCAATGAGGCTCCAGCTTCTACGGATTACATGTGATCTGCTCTCTGACTAAAAATTTTTAAAAAGAAAAGCTGAATGTGCACACTCGCAGGATAGACGGGAGACACAGTAACAATGGACAAATGAAAATATTAGCTTTACTGCAATCAGTACAACAACACTTGACAAATAAATGACATCCAGCACTGCATAATGTTGCATAGCACCAGTGTTTGCAGCCACAGTCAATTGCAGAAAACACCGAATCCAGTTCTTTCGCAACTAAATGCATGTACAGACCTGACAACAGGCCCAGTAAACTTCTCAACAGCATCCTGAACTTCAGTAGATATTGTTTTGAAACATTCTCTCTTTCCAGCTCAAGTTTCAAGGTAAAGAGAGGGAACTTGATTGGCATTTCATATTGCACTTCACAGAATCTCTGCTTGTTAGAGGATTTGGCAGTGGATGTTTTGATCTCGAAGTCTGTATCAGACGTGTGAGGTCATCTTTTCAGCATCCTCCTCCCTGATCCGTGTCCTCTGGAGGTGGAACAGCCGTCAGCTGATCAGCACAACATCGTCACTTTCTGGAACTCTGCAACAACATGATCCAAAAAGAAGCGTGATACACCCAATGTCTCATCAACATCACCATATAATGCACATGCTTTCTACTTCAGATCATTAATAAGGGTTCTTATGACAAAAACAACAGTGTTGTGATATTTGCTTAAGTTGCACATCATTGACCTATATTGTAAAACATTTAAGCAGCGTTTCTTTGAGATGTTGCATCCAATAAGTCTCAAAAGGTCACAGGAAGTTAGATTTATAGACTCACAGCTGCTTGTTCAGACCAATGATACATTTACTATGTATTTAAACTGTTGAGATAATCTCCTACACAGATCATCATAGTCGATTCATGATTCACACCATCTTTATTATCTGGGCTTCCACCTGCACACAAGTTTGGCCATAACACACAGACAGCTAAGGGATGCAGGAGGAGGTTTGGGTTTCTGGTGATTGTACCCAGTCGGAGAATAAATCCCCCAAAACAAGCACACTGAAAACAACAACCTTACCACCATTCCTTGTGTTTGGCTGTTTGCGCTCAAGAGAAACAGCTGAATATGTTCCCGTTTTGTCAAATCTGTCAACGATTAGACATTTTTTTCCTGTCTCTTTATGATCTGCCACGCGCAGCACATTTTACTGCCGAGTTTGCAGACCAAGTCTCATTCCACAAACTGCTGCAGCCATTTCGAGGATGTGAATGAATTTCACCGAGAGCAATGAAGACGCGTCTAATCCACCGAAATAAAATAGCAATAGAACAAACATTGCCATTCAAAGCAACTATTTTTTTTCATGATAGACTGATTTAAAAGAACCTAAAATCCTGCTGCCCTACTTCGGGCCTTACTCATCATAGTTAGTAAAGAAATAACAAAAGAACTACGTGCAACAACTTGCACTCAAGTGCAGCTCAGCACATTCCTTGAACCAACACTGATGGCAACACCGTCTGTGTGCAGGTTTCGTCATCCTGATCTCCTATGTGTCCTCCGGCACAGTCTCCATGTAGCCCATATAGAGCCTGAGCTTCATTATCTGTCCACCCTAGTATTTGGCAGTTGAGACGGGAACGTCTCTTCATGACAATAGTGACCAACGAATTACCCAGCCTCCGATAGGCGGCATTGACCTGCAGCTCATTTCCAATGAGGAGGACGATCTCCAAGTAGCCCCGCATAAAAGGGGATGATACAGGGGAAGTTTCTTGCCTTAACGTGGGCAGCTTCTGGCCTGTACAAAAACCTCACATGAGGCCATGAGCGACACTGAGCCTATGCAGTGCGGGTTGCAAAATCAAAAAGGCGAGCATATCAGAAGAAAATACATGGAGAACCAGCATATGCCAGGAAGAGGTGATCCCTAATCCGGGTGTACGCGGATACTCCTGCCTCCTCAAAGAACCTGCCAAGTCTAACTTTCAAAACCGACTCGCTTCTGTGCACAGCTTAGTACTTCCTTTGTTACGTCTTTCAAACATAACACTGACTCTTTGGCTAAGCTGCTGTACACACATACAGTATATGAACTACAGCGGATACAATGAAGTCATTCATCAAGTACACTGCTCAAAAAAAAATAAAGGGAACACTTAAGCAACACATCCTAGATCTGAATGAATGAAATAGTCTTATTAAATACTTTGTTCTTTACATAGTTGAATGTGCCGACAACAAAATCACACAAAAATCATCAATGAAAATGAAATTTATTAAAATTTTATTAAAATTTATTAAAACAAGTCCAAATGAGGCTCAGTAGTGTGTGTGGCCTCCACGTGCCTGTATGACCTCCCTACAATGCCTGGGCATGCTCCTGATGAGGTGGCGGATAGTCTCCTGAGGGATCTCCTTCCAGACCTGGACTAAAGCATCCGCCAACTCCTGGACAGTCTGTGGTGCATGGAGCGAGACATGATGTCCCAGATGTGCTCAATTGGATTCAGGTCTGGGGAACGGGCAGGCCAGTTCATAGCATCAATGCCTTCGTCTTGCAGGAACTGCTGACACACTCCAGCCACATGAGGTCTAGCATTGTCTTGCATTAGGAGGAACCCAGGGCCAACCGCACCGGCATATGGTCTCACAAGGGGTCTGAGGATCTCATCTCGGTACCTAATGGCAGTCAGGCTACCTCTGGCGAGCACATGGAGGGCTGTGCGGCCCTCCAAAGAAATGCCACCCCACACCATTACTGACCCACCACCAAACCGGTCATGCTGGAGGATGTTGCAGGCAGCAGAATGTTCTCCACGACGTCTCCAGACTCTGTCACATGTGCTCAGTGGAACCTGCTTTCATCTGTGAAGAGCACAGGGCGCCAGTGGCGAAGTTGCCAATCTTGGTGTTCTCTGGCAAATGCCAAACGTCAAACGTCCTGCCCGGTGTTGGGCTGTAAGCACAACCCCCACCTGTGGACGTCGGGCCCTCATACCACCCTCATGGAGTCTGTTTCTGACCGTTTGAGCAGACACATGCACATTTGTGGCCTGCTGGAGGTCATTTTGCAGGGCTCTGGCAGTGCTCCTGCTGTTCCTCCTTGCACAAAGGTGGAGGTAGCGGTCCTGCTGCTGGGTTGTTGCCCTCCTACGGCCTCCTCCACGTCTCCTGATGTACTGGCCTGTCTCCTGGTAGCGCCTCCATGCTCTGGACACTACGCTGACAGACACCGCAAACCACCTTGCCACAGCTCGCATTGATGTGCCATCTTGGATGAGCTGCACTACCTGAGCCACTTGTGTGGGTTGTAGACTCCGTCTCATGCTACCACTAGAGTGAAAGCACCACCAGCATTCAAAAGTGACCAAAACTTCAGCCAGAAAGCATAGGAACTGAGAAGTGGTCTGTGGTCACCACCTGCAGAACCACTCCTTTATTGGGGGGTGTCTGTCTTGCTAATTGCCTATAATTTCCACCTGTTGTCTATTCCATTTGCACAACAGCATGTGAAATTGATTGTCAGTGTTGCTTCCTAAGTGGGCAGTTTGATTTCACAGAAGTGTGATTGACTTGGAGTTACATTGTGTTGTTTAAGTGTTCCCTTTATTTTTTTGAGCAGTGTATATATTTGTGTCTTTGTAATAATCTGAAGAGCTATAGTATATGGTTACAACCTTTTCTATAACAGTCCATTCATTCTCAACGACAAGACTCTTGAGCCACAATACATTATTTCAACTGTCAAAGTGGATGTATTGGTTCCAAATAAGTTTTAAATCCAAACAAACAGCCACTCTTTGCTTTCCAAACAAGATAACTTACCGCAGTAAAAGATAACGGTATAGGAAGAGGCTAATTGCATGCAGATGAAATTTCATCCAGTAAGACATTAGTATGTTAGCTGAGAACGCTGATCTAATTTTTGTGAGCAGAGACACAAATACGCTCTTAAAAATGAAAATTGGTCAAATGACTGCAATTACAGAATGTGTGTAACTTGACAAGAGCTCTCCTAATGACAACAAGTCAGCCAACTCTGGCAGTTTTACACTCAACTCCACGGAGAAGATGCACATTTATTTGGCAGTCTAGCATTACGTTTCCACTATCACACATTACATAATGGCTCTGTAACTGAAACTAAGCTTCCTTTAAACACTCAGACAATCAG